CCCAAAACCCCAAAACCCCAAAACCCCAAAACCCCAAAACCCCAAAACCCCTTTCTCCTAGGTATTTATAGAAAGTCTGTGAGAGTAGCCACATGTATATGGCAGTGCTAGCACAAGGAATGTGCTTACAGTACAACTAGAGGTGCTTTAAAACCAAAGTTGGCTTTTGAAATGAGCAAAATGCTTGAATTCCAGTAAGAAAATGTAAGAATTACCCTGTCCTGCCTTACACTATCTCTACATGTAATCTTATTTCAACTAATGTATGCAAGATTTTATGAGCATTTTCATTCTAAATTAGCTAATATTTTAGCTGATCTTATGCTATTTCTCTGACAAAGAGTAACTTCTCTCAAAAATTTCCTCAAATATGAAGTAAGAAAGAGCAATAATGTTTATAAATAATCTTGAAGGGTTAGATCAACATTTCTTGGAATCTAAGAGTAGCTACCAGTAGTGGTGAAGCAGTACCTTCACTATGAGGAACTCTAGAAAGCTACTAAACTTCATTTAAAGTGTCAAAAATTTTCATAATAATATCTCAGATTTCGATAAAATGAAAATACATACGAAAAATTGCCTTGATTCTGAAGAGAATTTACAGAGTGGAAAAATATATAGAAAGGAATTTTAGTACTGAGGCCTGAAAATATAAACCTTATTGGTTTTGAACTCATTTAGTGTTTTACTGCAGGAAGTCTTCTAGACTGCCCATTATACTTGAGCAGCCATGCTTCTATTTCCTACTTCAATGAGACCACAGATTTTAATTCGCCTTTCCTTACTGGAAAAGAACGCTTATACTTTCTATTTCCTCTGGCTCTTTATCTTTCTCTTTGCCAGAGTCACACAAGGAGACTTCATTTTTGAGCTGTTTATCAAGATTACCGAATGAGTCTTGGCCTTCGCCTTCAGCTTCTTCATCAGGGTCAAAATCATGCCCTTGGTCCTCTTCTGATTTGTCTTCTTCGTTTGATATAAGATATACCATGATCTCTTCTCCTCCAGAGTTGAGCATTATTTGATACTTATTTGTTCTCAGCAGTTTGAATGCCTCTCTCCTTGTGCAAATTCTTATCATGTGGCGCTTTCATGGCTTTGTTTTCCTTCTCTTCCTCATGGTTTGCAAGATCCTTCGGATCTTTCTCTCCTACCTCTGGCACTTCAAGCTTGGTGCCAGGAGGAGCTCTAATTGCAAGTAATGTATTGTCTTTATCTTCATTTATATTTTTAATATCATCATAGGTGACATAAGCGAACTGCTCGTAGAGTTCATCATTAGACATCTCTTGTAACTGGTTATTAACGGTGCTGATCATCGTATCAAGCCATTGTTCCTCTCTCTGGTACTCCTCTAGCTCCAAATTCAGCCGTTCTATTTCTTTGGCTTGGTCTTTTTCCTTCTCTCTTTCTGCTTCTTCACTGATCTGTTGATTTTCATCCTCACCGAAGTTGTCTAGACGCATTGCTCCATTCCATCTGATTTTGTTCTTACTGTATTTCTCGATGAGGCCGATACCCTCGAGAACATTGGTGATATCGTAAATCCTCCTATTTTTGAACTCCGAGCTCTTCGACCGCCTCGTTGAGATCAATTCAATAATCTTCAGTTTGCTTAATAAGTTGGATAAATTTCTTCGTCAGCTCTCCAAGGGAATTTTCTTGTCGGGGCTTTAATATAGGCTTATTCTCTCCAGTCCTGCCACCCTTGTTATTATTTTCGGCTTCTAGTCCGGGTCTCATAATCTCTGGTCATTACAGGAGCCCCATCAAGCTCATTTGTGCGAGGCAATTTGTGGCCTTTCTTTTGTAGAGACTCTTCTTGGTCAGGTTCTTCCTGATCAAATTCTTCTTTATCAATTTCTTCAAATTCCTCAAATAGGGTTCTCTTGATGCTCTTGTTCTTACTCATTTCAAGTTCAAAATATTTTATATTACCAATTTATTCTTAAAAATGAGGGGTTTTGGGGTTTTGGGGTTTTGGGGTTTTGGGG